ATGAAGACCGGGACGAGCGCGAAGAAGGGCGAACAAGAAGAAGATGATCTCGAAGTCGAAGGGGACGATGCGATGCGGCCATGATGGGCTTCCGCCGGATTTTGCACGACAAAAGAATAAAAAAGAATTGCGGGGAACAACGTTGGAAGGTGTACGCAAAGAGAAGAAGAGTGAGTACAGGCAGTACATGAAACGACAGGGCGGCTTCCCACCCATTGAGTCCAGGAAGATTGAGAGAGAGAGAGAGAGAGAGAGAGAGAGCATCCACCAGGCGGTCTCGGCACGCAGCATCAGCAGGACCACCGTAATGAGCCTACGCTGTTAGAGTACAAAGCCTATGCGCCGATGTTCGGCTTTTAGATATCCAAATTCGCAGCACCCGATCCAACACCATACACATGTCTATGCAGAACTTGTTGACCCAGGCGCCGTCGGCGATGAGGCTGGTACCTTCCCTTCCCTGGCCTCAGCCTTTAATGCACTCTCGAAGATATCCACCGATATGCTCGTGTCTACGAACTCCTCCAGCTCCTCCGTGACCGTTCGCAGCTTCTCCTTGACGGCAATGGCGCCCTCAAAGCCGACGATATGTCGAGCAGGCGGGTTCTCGTGCCCGCCAATAGCTGTCAGGGCGTGCACTGTCTCCATGACGAGTCGATCGGTGGCGGCGGCAGGCAGACGAGGGTAGCGTGACTGGACCTCTGTTTCGGAGGGCTCGATGGCCGTTTCGGGATCTGCGTTGAGAACGTTGGCGAGCATGTCACGAATGCGCGGCGCAGGCGCCTCGGGGTCGTCGTTGTGCAGCTGTGGCACGAAGATGATGCGATTTGTCAGGGACTGGATTTCCTTGTTCGGCTGCACGATGGTGACCTTAATGTTGAAGGGCGCAATCTCGTAAGCCAGGGAGTCACAGTAGCCCTCGAGTGCCCATATTGCTGATGTGTATATGGGCATGCCTGGGGTTCCGATATGGCCGCCGATCGATGTCAGGATGAGAATATGGCCTGTGTGCTGATCGCGGAACAGGGGCAGTGCGGCCTTGATGAAATTGACCTGGGAGAAGAAGATGGTCTCGAATTGATCGCGGACGAGGTTTCGTGTTACGGGTTGGGCGGAAATCTCCTCGACAGTGCCGACAACGGCCTCCGACTTGCAACAGAGAAGAATATCGATGCGACCAAATACATGAACAGCCTCTGCTAGGGCGGCAGAACACTGGCCGGCCACGCGGCCATCGCAGCGAATTCCGCGTATGCGGTCCTTCCAGCCCTCGCGGTCGCGGCGATCCGACTTGCACTCGGCGATGAGTTCACGAAAGTCTGCGCTTCGGTCGTCGTGCTCAATCTCGTAGGGCGGTAGACAAGCAACAACGTAGTCACCGTGAGCGAGCAGCAAGCGTATGAGGCGGATGACAAGCGGGGAGAGGGCGGTTGTGAGGACCCATGTGCGTGGGGAGTTGTGGGTGGCTGCGAGCGTGTGAACGTGTGTCAGAAGCTGATGGCGCCTTGACGATGCAGAGACAGGTCACTCACGAAAGGAGGGTACAGGAAGGGATTGGGATGGCCGCGACGCCGAGTCGGATCCTTTGCGCTCCGACATGGGCACGAGGGGGAGGCGAGGGTCGTCGTCGTGTGACCGACAATGGCTTCGGCGGCGGTCGACTCACAGCTCGCAGAAGATGAATGTGAGGTGTGTCAAGCGCAAAGGTAAGAAGTATCTTGTATCTCGTTAGAGAAGTGGCTGAAGAAGCTTGGAAAGAGCAATTGAGTCGACCCCTCACCTCCCGCCGCGCCTGCCTCCCCCACCCCTGACACCTTTTCGACGCGCGATGCTCCACCGTCGCGCGTGAAGCAGGAGCCACCCCACGCCCCTTCCACACCTGGATCTGGGGAAGCCCCGCCCAGCAAGCGCGCTGGAAGGGGGGGCCCTCGACCCCTCGGTGGGTCCTTCCCTAGGTGTGTCATTTTTGCTCCGATTATGCCGCGCTCCGAGTTTCGTCTTTTTGGCGGGGTTCATGACAGCGACGGATCCCGTCTTTTTTGTCACCTCATCCTCACCAAGAGTCATCCTCCTACCCTTTTCTTTCGTGAGTCATTGGACAACCCAAAACATCATAACTTGCCTATCTTCTCTTCTGACCTGGCTTGTGAGGCAGCAGCATCCTAAAAAGCTGATTGATTTCTACCCTCGAAAACACCTCGTGTGAAACTCCCCAACATCTCCAACACCATCACCCCAGAATCCACCAGGCAGCCCACAGCCATGCCGACTCGCGAGGAAATCACTTACTTCGGTGCCGGCCCGGCCCTCCTTCCCACCGACGTTCTCGAGACCGCAGCCCAGGCCCTCATCGATTACAAGGGCACCGGCCTCGGCATTGCCGAGCACTCTCACCGCAGCGAGCTCGCGACCAACATCATCAACGAGGCCAAGGCCGACCTGGCCACGTACCTCGATATCCCCACCGACGAGTATGAGATTCTCTTCATGCAGGGCGGCGGCTCTGGCGAGTTCTCTGCCACCATCTACAACCTCGTTGGTGTCTGGGTCACCCGCCAGAAGCAAGCGCTGCTGAAGGAGTGGGGTGTTGCCGACGACAAGGACGCCGCGGTCCACGAGAAGCTCGTGGCCGAGCTTCGCAAGCGAGTCGAGGAGAAGCTGAAGCTCGACTACATTATCACAGGTGGTTGGAGCCAGAAGGCCCATGGTGAGGCCGTCCGACTTTTGGGGCCTGACAATGTCAACGTTGTGGCCGACGCCCGCAAGATCAACGATGGCAAGTTTGGCAAGATCCCTGACGAGAAGGACTGGAAGCTCTCCAAGGATGCCGCCATGGTCTACTACTGTGACAATGAAACGGTCGACGGTGTCGAGTTCCCCCAATTCCCTGCCTCGCTGGCCCCTACGGCTGACGGCGAGGGCCCCATTGTGATTGCCGACATGAGCTCCAACATCCTGTCGAGACGGATTCCCGTGAGGAATTTCTCTGCTATCTTCTTCGGTGCTCAGAAGAACCTTGGTTGCACTGGTGTCACCGTTTGCGCCATCAAGAAGTCTCTGCTGCCGCCCACAACCCCTCAGCCCGACGCCGCTCTGCTGCGCAAGCTCGGCCTGCCGATCGGTCCTATTGTTCTCTCATATGAGATTATTGCCAAAAACAACAGTCTCTACAACACGCTCAGCATCTTCGAGTATGATCCTTGAATCTTCCCCCTGTTTTGACCCAAGGCTGACATACTCAGCGTTTACATCGCCGGCCAAGTCCTGAAGAAGCTCCTCGCTACGTTCCCTGACAAGGTCGATGGCCAACAGGCGATCGCTGAGAAGAAGGCGGCACTCATCTACGGTGCGCTTGAGGCGTATCCTGACGTCTACAAGATTGTGCCCGACGCCTCGGTCCGTTCGCGCATGAACATCTGCTTCCGCGTGGCACGCGGCGGCGACATTGATGCCGCGGAGAAGGCCTTCCTTAAGGAGTCCACGGCTGAGGGCCTCACCGGACTCAAGGGGCACCGCAGCGTCGGAGGCATTCGCGCAAGCAACTACAACTCGATTCCCCTGGAAGGTGCGGAGAAGCTGGCCGCGTTTGTCAAGAAGTTTGCCGAGGCAAAGTGAGTTTAAAAAGAGGGCAAGGGGCAAAAATGGACGTTTTCAGTTTGGCACATGATCAATGTAGGGATAAGAGCGAGCAAGATTACGTGGGCGAGTGATGGGCATTCAGTATGTGTTATGTGCGATCATGGGAACACTTGTTCAACATCAGGTGTTCACAGCAGGATGGATAGGATACCAAAGCAGCGCGCATATCATGTCAATTTTGCAGGACGAAAAAGCGACTTCTTGGGGTGAATCAGAGAAGATGCAGTATCAAACTCTTTCGCAATTCTCGTGCTCGTCGCAGGCATCAAACCCGAGTTTGATCACTTCTCACGCGGCCGCTCAGCTGCATCTTGAATGGTCGTCCCAGCTGCCACCTCAGGCTCGTCGTCCATGGTCTTGACCATGTCGTTGACACCGAAGAGCTCATCCATCTGCTCCAGGCTCAGACCTTTGGTCTCGGGAATGAGGAAGTAGACGATGACAGCCATGACGAAGCTGAAGGATCCGAACATGAAGAACATACCCTGGAGATTAACGTTAGTCTTCGTTTTTGACATGGCTAGGAAACGAATCCAAGGAAGCCGCTTACATAGCCCTTGTAGCCCATTGTGAGCTGCATCGTCAGCACGGTACGCGCGATGATAAAGTTAAAGAGCCACTGCGTTGCCGCCGCGAGGGCAACGTTCAGAGCACGGAGGCGGGCGGTCGGGATCTCGGAGACCAGGATCCAACAGCACGGCTATGCCTCTTGTCAGCGACGAACGAGAGTCTGAGAATAGTCGGAGTACTCACGCCCCAGCCGAACTGGAAGAAGACGACCCAGATGAAGATGCAGGTGATGGCGACGTAGCCAAAGGGCGAGATCTGTTCTTGTCAGCGGGCTGTGAATGCATAGTGTCCAAGTTGCCTTTGAGAGAATCGGCCCCGTTCAAGTTACGACAGCAGGTCACTTGACGCTGGTCGATCTTCGAACCCCCCCCCCATCACAACATGCCACATATACCGAGCACAGTATTAAAGAAAAGAGACAACTCACCGGCTCGCCCTCAACAGGGGGCTCCACTCGGCCGTAAATGCCCACTATAAACATCGCGATGCCCTGCCCGATGCCCGTCCAGATCAGGCTCCTCCGCCGGCCCAGGGAGTCGGCAACGAAGATGAGGAAACACGCGCAGCCAACGACCTTGACGACGCCATAGATGCCTGTGGCAAACAGGGACGACTCAGTCCCACTCATGCCGAGGTTCTTGAAGATTTGCGGAGCGTAGTAGTTCTGGTGTTTGCGTTAGCCCGGACCCCAACACAAACCCCAACCCTAAGCACGATGCATAGACATGGAGCACCAGAGAACAAGAATCTTGCAGAGGAAAAGGCACTTACGACTGCGTTCGGCCCGCTCATTTGTTGCGAAATCATGAGAAAAACAGACAGCAGCGCTCTCTTGCGGTTGCTGGGAACGAGCCACATCTCACGAAGGAGGGCCCTCGTCGTTGCATCGCCGACGAGGCGGCGCTCCGTCTCGAGCTGGCTCGACATGTCGTTGATCTCGGCCTGGACGTACTCGTGGTCCGCCGGCAGGGCCCTGAGCTTGGACAGGATGGCCGTGGCCCGCTCCCAGTGGTCCTGCTTGGCGCACCAGCGCGGGCTCTCGGGGCAGAAGAGCATGCCGGCGCTGAGGATGACGGCGGGCAGGGCCTGCATGGCGAGGGGCACGGCGTAGACGGCGGTGCCCTTGACGTGCATGAGGCTGCCGTAGTTGACCCAGAAGGCCATCATGGTGCCCGTGACGATGAAGAGCTGGTAGAAGGCCGTGAGGCCGCCGCGGATGGCGCGCGGCGCGCACTCGGAGACGTAGAGAGGCGTCAGCATGGAGGCGGCGCCGACGCCGACGCCGGCCACGAAGCGGTCCCACGAACATGAGGGCCAGGGTGCCCCTGGGCGGGCGAGGCGGCCTGGAAGATGACGCCGGCGGTCGTGATGATGCCGACGACGATGAGGCACAGGCGCCGGCCGTAGCGGTCGGCGAACCAGGGCGTCACGAAGCAGGCGGCGAAACACCCGGCCTGCAGCGTCGACACGATGTTCTGGTCCTGGTTCGTCTTGTGGGCCTTGGAGCTGTCAAAGTAGCCGAAGCGCTTCTGCGTCTCTTCCATGGCGAGGACGCCGCCTATGGCGCCAATATCCCAGCCGAAGAGCATGCCGCCGAAGCAGGCTGAAGGGTGTTAGTGATACAGACTGCGTGGCTCAGGAGGCGTGTGGTTGTGGAAGGAAAGCGATGAGCAAGGAAAAGGGGCTGCCACTAACAAGCACATGCCAGAGCAAAGACCCTCCAGCCGTAGATCTCATGAGGATCAGTGCGCATCGCCTCATTGCGCACAATGGCGCGGAGGAACTTGGAGATGCCCATGGTGGTCGATGGTAGGGAGCGTCAGGAGATGCGTCTTTGCCACTTGATCTTGGTGTTTCCAAGACGAGTCCTCCAGAAGATGGCCTTCTAGCAATTATTGGACAGGGAAGCAGACAGCAATGGCAATCCCAGAAAAGAGGAGATGGAGGGTAGCAGCAGCAATATGTACTCTCACGAGGAGCATCAGAAGCAAGTCACCGCCAGAGCGGCACAACACATGGCTCCCACCCCTCCCAGACGATCATCCTTTCACCCAGGTGCTTCTGGATAGGCGCTCTGGAGCCTGGCCCCAGCTTCGTGACACGGCCGCCGGGGCTGCGATTGGCGTGCTGGTGACGATCTGAACAGTGCGCTTGGGTTCCATGGCCGGCTAATTCTGGCAAAAACCTACCGGTTCATCCCCTCGGCGGCCGTTCTGCGTGTGCCGCATGGCAGCCTGTTTAGTTCGCACGGTAGTGAAACCCCAGATGTCAGATACGGCATGGTCAACGAAAGGTGGACGACACCATGTTGGGGGGAAGCTTGAAAATTAGTCCACGAATTGGCTGTTGCGGGATGAGCCTATCTCTGTCATCGTTGTACTCAACCATGTGCCATGAGTCAAACCGCTTCACAGAAGGCACCGCGCTATGTCTTTGACGGTCTCTCCTCGTAGTCGTGTCCTTCGGTGTGCAGTGAGACCATTCTGACGGCTCAAGTACCGACTGCCAAGCCGCTACGTCCCAGCCTCCAAATGCTTGTTGACAGGCCCCAAGTCCAGAGACAGGAAGCTCCCCGCTCGAGACGCTGCTCTCATCTTTAGCCGGTAAGTAATCAAGTAGAAGTAGGTAGGCTTTGCGGGGAGGGGATGGGCAGAGCAGGTAGCATTGCAGTAGCGCCGTCCATGGCCCGAAGCAATGTCGGAGAGGGTGTGCTCGGCTACCGGCACCAAGCGCCGTCATTCGGGCGTTGGGTCGCCCGCATGAGGGGTTCTTGCTGTGTCGATCTTGTGAGCTTGACTTGTGCTAAACATGGTGCTAGATCATATTAGTAGCAAGCTCGAATTGGCCGTAATGGGATTCACCATATCAATCTCGGTATGCCAGAGGGCGGATGAGTGACGTTCGATGTGTCAGGCACTTGGTTCTACTGTACCTGCTGTATAACAATTAGGGTCTAAACGGAAAGGGTTCGTTCAAAGGCGTAGAAAAGAGCCCAGACATTTCATCTTGGTCAGGCGGCTGCGCGCCTTCATAGTCTCGTTCTGCCTCTCCTCGCGAACGTACACCTAAACATCCTTGCCCTCCGTCTCAACCCATGCCGGCACGGCAGGCGGCGCATCCCAGCCCTCGAGATACGTCCCTCGCGCGACGCCCTCGCCCGCAGGCCGCGCAAACACGGCCGCCACAAACCACGCCTCCTCGCCCGCCTTCAGCGTCCCCTGCAGCGTCGGGATGACGGACCTGCTCTCGATGAGGTTCGAGTTGGGGTCGGCGTTGACGAGGTTCGCCGTGCGCCGCGCCCCGGGCTCCAGCGCCCTGATGCCCACGGCGCCCGCCAGCGTCGACACGGCGAACGCGCCGTCGCCGCCGGACGCCCAGCCCTCGGGACTCGCGAGGTCGTAGTTGCCAATGATGCGCGGCCGCGTGCCCTCGCCCGTTGCCTCGTCGTAGAGCGGCAGCACCCTGCCGTGCGGCGCCGTCTCGTTGCGGATGGCAAAGGCGCCGTCCGCCGTCATGACCTCGCGGCCGGCCGTGATGTGGTGGATGCGTAGGTGCCAGTTGGGCGTCGCCGCCCTCGGGCGGCACGAGAATCGTCTTGACCGTGACGTCGACAAAGGGCTTCCACGAGGACACAAGCACGGGCTTGCCGTCGCGCGTCTGGATGCCTGCGTAGTCCGACCGCCGCCGCGTCTTCCAGTACTCGCCGCCGTCGTCGGAGAAGCCGAGCTGCGACGCGAGCGCATACTGCTCGAGCGAGAAGAGGCCCGGCGGCACCGAGTAGCCATAGGCGCTGCTGTAGGCGAGGCAGCCGTACTTGGCGTGTGTGCCCTTCATCGGGTAGCTGCACGCCTGGCCCGACGAGAGGAGCATGCAGTGGCCGCCAAGGTAGCTCATGATGTGACCCGGCTGCTCGAGGGGTTTGACTGTAGGGATCACACCCCACGCGTGCTCTTCCTCGGAGGTCCAGAACGGGTGGTCCTCGGGCACGGCGAGACAGATGAATGCCAGGCAGGCCCAGTACTGCATCGTTGTCAGCTTGCTGCGCTCTTGCTTCTCACAAAGGGGGCTGGCAGTCGGAAAACACGTACAGGGCTCCCCGGGCTGTTGTAGTTCTCGGCCATGTACATGTTGGGATACGAGTACCCAATGGTCAGCGTGCCGCTGGGGCTCCAGATGCCGTGCTGCGTCTGCCACCAGCGCAGGTGGCGCATCACGATACCCTTGACCATGCCCCAGGTCAGAGGGGCCGGCAGCTCGACACCGGCGTAGGCCAGCGCGCCCCAGAAGGAGACCATGGCGAAGCGGTAGCCGACGCTGCGGCCGAACGGGATGGACCGTCCCTCGCGGTCGTAGTAGTGCACAAGGTCGAGCGCGATCGTCTGCGCCCGCTTCTTGAACTCCTCGGCCCTCGCCGGCTCGTCGTCGCCCGCCAGCTTGGCGTACAGCAGCTGGAGGAACTGAATGGCGAAGCTAGACGAGTAGTAGTCCATCATGTGAATCCCCTCGGGCCCGTCGTTCGACCACCCGCCGCCGCGGTAAAAGGTGTCGAGGTGCTCAATGTCGGCGTCGAGCCTCTCCTGCGAGAACTTGCCGCCATTCTTCTTGAGGCCGAGGTTCGCGAAGACGCGGAACCAGAGCCAATTGGTGTTGGGCATGCTGTCGAAAGGCGTCCATTAGCTTCTGGTTTGCGCTTCGAGCTGGCGAGACGTTGCTCACTTCTTCTCATTGATCGAGTTGCCCAGCCAATTCTCCACATTGCCGCGCTCCTTTTCTGTCAAGTCTTGCCAAAACACCGGCGCGACAGCCAAAGCGAAGCCTGCGCAGGAAGCACGTCAGCAGGCCCGCCTTGCAAGCGTAGAAGCATCACAAAGGTAGGAACATCCAAAGTCCTACCGAGCGGGCACATCTCCACCATGCGCTGGTCATTGTCCCTCGGGTGGCCCCAATACTCGGGGTTCTCCGGGTCCGTCCCAGACTTGAGGCCCTCCACCCACCACGAGGTGCCGCGGTACTCGCCGCCGCCGGCCAGCAGACACGCGAGCCCCCACAGCGGGCGGCAGATGCCCTCGACCTCGGCGGCCGTCTGGTCGAAGCGCACGGCCGTGCCGCCGGGAACGCGGACGCGGGCCTTGTGCGGCGAGAAGAAGGGCTCGAGGGGGTCGAGCAGGGTGCGCAGCAGCTCCTGGACCGAGGCGCGGTCGGTGAGGTCGACGCGGGAAAAGGGGTGCGCGCCGTTGTAACCCAGGACGAGGCCCGTCTTGGGCTCCTGGAGTTCTGTCGTCATGTCGTGCGTGGCGACTAAGGCTGTGACTGACTGGTGAGAGAGAGGGAGAGTTGCTTCTTCCCTTGGACCGGAATTGGGAAACGTTACGACGAGAACGATGTTGGAATATCAGGGTAACCGGGAGAGGAAGCAAGCATGGCAGCCAGCTTCAGATAACAAATGCTCCGAGACCAGCTAGCTCTGCTTCATAGCTTCGAAGGGGGGCTCTTGGAGGACCACACTCGCCCCCATTGAACATGTCACCTCGCTCTCAATTAGTCCAGCAATCAAGGCCCCGGATGTTTGCTGTCGGCATGTTTTGTGGCGGGGTCATCCTGGTATAGCGTGTCATCGGTGGCATCTCCCCCGCCTCGAGCCTGTGATCTCCCACTGCCAAGAGGGGTTGGCTCGTCGGCTCTCTGGGCGGTTACGTGGGGGGGAGGGGATCCCCCTTTCGTCCGCCCGAAGGAGCGAACTGTTTCGGCTAAATGGGATCTGGTGATCTGCAGACTGCAGGTTGTATGTATGTAGGCTGTAGGCTAGAGGCTGGAGGGTGGTTGTTGAATGGTGTCCAGAACCGACATTGGTGGGGGGAGCAGCGCCTCGATCCTATTCTGTGCCAGTGTGAGTTAGTCAGGTCAGCAGCATTGCCAAGTTGAGCCAGACGTGCACCAAAAAGGGGGTTTGGCTGTGAAGACAGGTGAAATGCTCTGTTCGCCGCCTCGGCTCATGAATCCCACGAAAGGACGCGGACCGGCTTCATCGCTTGAATATACGTAGATTTGAATAGGTGACAATTGAAGATGGAAGCTTACTCCCCCACCCGTCTTTCCGCCGTATCCCTCTTTCGCGATCCCCGTTCCCCCCCGTACACTTGCGGCCTGGCTTCGAATGCTCGGTTCACCCGCACACGGGCGCGAATAAACATTAGATAAGGTATGATGGTTGCGTAGATGAGCGCGTGTCCGTCGCATTCGTCGTCGTTGTGCTGCTGGTACTGCTGCTGCTGCTGCCGCCGCCGTTGCTCACGTCTCGGCCGGGGTCTCTTCAATGGTTGGTGTCGGGGGTATATCCTCCTTGCTCGTCTCGGCCTGCGTCGTCGCGTCGCCGCCGTCGCTCGAGCTCACCGTGCTGGCCTTTTCCCGTCTCCTCCTCCTCATCTTCCTCTCTTCCTCTGCCGTCTGCCGCCTCGATCGGCGGATGCTCTCCCTCTTCTCAGGGTCGTCGTCGTCCGCTCCATCGCCACCGCGCATGCCCTGCAAGAGCAGCGCCGCGCGCGCCGCCACATCGTCCTCTCCGCCCTCCCGGGGCGAAGACAGCCCTGGGCTGACAACGCTTCCTTCTTCGTCGATGACGGCCTCCTTTGTCTGGAGCGCCGCCTCCACTTCGGGTATCTCGTTGAGGTCGGGGATCTTCTGGCCCGAGGCCACGCGGACCTGGTGCCGGTCCTTGAGACGCGCCTTGCGCCGTCGATCTCTCTGGTCGCGCGTCTGGGGTGCGCTGCGCGCAGCTTCTCGAGCAGCGAGTCCATCGCGCCCGTGCTTGACGGGGACGGAGGCGCGCCCTCGACCGCGCCACCCGTCACCTTGAGCTGCGCATGCTTGCGTTTCATCGAGGCTTCGTTACGCCTTCGTGTCTCCTCGTACTGCATGTTCTTCTCGCGCGACCTCTTCCAGTCCGTGAGGAACGACGCCAGCTTCGAGAAGAAGTCTCGCCGCGCGTTGTCGTCCGTGGGGTCCTCGCCGTAAAAGGTCATAATGTCGTTGTACGACTTGGACATCTCCTCCAGGTAGAGCTCCATCTCTTCGGCCTTTCTGCGCGCATCCTTCATGTGCCTCTGGACCACCTGGCCCACGCGATCCTGGGGATGGAACTTCTTCGAGTCGCTGAGGTTGCCCGAGTCGAGCGACATCTGGACGTTGCGGACATTGTCCATGTATCGTTTGGCGTCGGACTGCAGCTGCTCAATGTTGATCTTCTGCACCGCCACAATATCACCAATGTCGGTGGCAAAGTTCTCCCACTCGGGGTACTGGTTACGCACGATGCGCTCGACCAGATCAGCGAGCGTCGACTCGTTCTTGTCGTCCTTGACCATACCCAGACGCGCCAGGGAGCTGAGCTTGAAACCGCGAGATTGCTTGTTGGCATCGTTCATGTAGTTGCCAATATCGAGAATGAGACCGAGAACGTTCATAAGAGACACCGAGTCTCGCAGCGATTCGGAGACGGCCATGACCTTGCGAATCTTGTCCGTGATCTCGTCGTAGTCCGTCTCGTAGCTCTTCGTCAAGGCCAGCGCGCGCATTCGGCTCTTCCAGTAGTGGTGCAACTCAAACGCAGTAAACAGGTAGATCTGGTCCTGCCGTGTGAGCTCTTCGGGGTCCTGCTCCCTGTTCTCCTTGTCGGGT